AAAAAAAAAAAAAAAAAAAAAAAAAAAAAAAAAAAAAAAAAAAAAAAAAAAAAAAAAAAAAAAAAAAAAAAAAAAAAAAAAAAAAAAAAAAAAAAAAAAAAAAAAAAAAAAAAAAAAAAAAAAAAAAAAAAAAAAAAAAAAAAAAAAAAAAAAAAAAAAAAAAAAAAAAAAAAAAAAAAAAAAAAAAAAAAAAAAAAAAAAAAAAAAAAAAAAAAAAAAAAAAAAAAAAAAAAAAAAAAAAAAAAAAAAAAAAAAAAAAAAAAAAAAAAAAAAAAAAAAAAAAAAAAAAAAAAAAAAAAAAAAAAAAAAAAAAAAAAAAAAAAAAAAAAAAAAAAAAAAAAAAAAAAAAAAAAAAAAAAAAAAAAAAAAAAAAAAAAAAAAAAAAAAAAAAAAAAAAAAAAAAAAAAAAAAAAAAAAAAAAAAAAAAAAAAAAAAAAAAAAAAAAAAAAAAAAAAAAAAAAAAAAAAAAAAAAAAAAAAAAAAAAAAAAAAAAAAAAAAAAAAAAAAAAAAAAAAAAAAAAAAAAAAAAAAAAAAAAAAAAAAAAAAAAAAAAAAAAAAAAAAAAAAAAAAAAAAAAAAAAAAAAAAAAAAAAAAAAAAAAAAAAAAAAAAAAAAAAAAAAAAAAAAAAAAAAAAAAAAAAAAAAAAAAAAAAAAAAAAAAAAAAAAAAAAAAAAAAAAAAAAAAAAAAAAAAAAAAAAAAAAAAAAAAAAAAAAAAAAAAAAAAAAAAAAAAAAAAAAAAAAAAAAAAAAAAAAAAAAAAAAAAAAAAAAAAAAAAAAAAAAAAAAAAAAAAAAAAAAAAAAAAAAAAAAAAAAAAAAAAAAAAAAAAAAAAAAAAAAAAAAAAAAAAAAAAAAAAAAAAAAAAAAAAAAAAAAAAAAAAAAAAAAAAAAAAAAAAAAAAAAAAAAAAAAAAAAAAAAAAAAAAAAAAAAAAAAAAAAAAAAAAAAAAAAAAAAAAAAAAAAAAAAAAAAAAAAAAAAAAAAAAAAAAAAAAAAAAAAAAAAAAAAAAAAAAAAAAAAAAAAAAAAAAAAAAAAAAAAAAAAAAAAAAAAAAAAAAAAAAAAAAAAAAAAAAAAAAAAAAAAAAAAAAAAAAAAAAAAAAAAAAAAAAAAAAAAAAAAAAAAAAAAAAAAAAAAAAAAAAAAAAAAAAAAAAAAAAAAAAAAAAAAAAAAAAAAAAAAAAAAAAAAAAAAAAAAAAAAAAAAAAAAAAAAAAAAAAAAAAAAAAAAAAAAAAAAAAAAAAAAAAAAAAAAAAAAAAAAAAAAAAAAAAAAAAAAAAAAAAAAAAAAAAAAAAAAAAAAAAAAAAAAAAAAAAAAAAAAAAAAAAAAAAAAAAAAAAAAAAAAAAAAAAAAAAAAAAAAAAAAAAAAAAAAAAAAAAAAAAAAAAAAAAAAAAAAAAAAAAAAAAAAAAAAAAAAAAAAAAAAAAAAAAAAAAAAAAAAAAAAAAAAAAAAAAAAAAAAAAAAAAAAAAAAAAAAAAAAAAAAAAAAAAAAAAAAAAAAAAAAAAAAAAAAAAAAAAAAAAAAAAAAAAAAAAAAAAAAAAAAAAAAAAAAAAAAAAAAAAAAAAAAAAAAAAAAAAAAAAAAAAAAAAAAAAAAAAAAAAAAAAAAAAAAAAAAAAAAAAAAAAAAAAAAAAAAAAAAAAAAAAAAAAAAAAAAAAAAAAAAAAAAAAAAAAAAAAAAAAAAAAAAAAAAAAAAAAAAAAAAAAAAAAAAAAAAAAAAAAAAAAAAAAAAAAAAAAAAAAAAAAAAAAAAAAAAAAAAAAAAAAAAAAAAAAAAAAAAAAAAAAAAAAAAAAAAAAAAAAAAAAAAAAAAAAAAAAAAAAAAAAAAAAAAAAAAAAAAAAAAAAAAAAAAAAAAAAAAAAAAAAAAAAAAAAAAAAAAAAAAAAAAAAAAAAAAAAAAAAAAAAAAAAAAAAAAAAAAAAAAAAAAAAAAAAAAAAAAAAAAAAAAAAAAAAAAAAAAAAAAAAAAAAAAAAAAAAAAAAAAAAAAAAAAAAAAAAAAAAAAAAAAAAAAAAAAAAAAAAAAAAAAAAAAAAAAAAAAAAAAAAAAAAAAAAAAAAAAAAAAAAAAAAAAAAAAAAAAAAAAAAAAAAAAAAAAAAAAAAAAAAAAAAAAAAAAAAAAAAAAAAAAAAAAAAAAAAAAAAAAAAAAAAAAAAAAAAAAAAAAAAAAAAAAAAAAAAAAAAAAAAAAAAAAAAAAAAAAAAAAAAAAAAAAAAAAAAAAAAAAAAAAAAAAAAAAAAAAAAAAAAAAAAAAAAAAAAAAAAAAAAAAAAAAAAAAAAAAAAAAAAAAAAAAAAAAAAAAAAAAAAAAAAAAAAAAAAAAAAAAAAAAAAAAAAAAAAAAAAAAAAAAAAAAAAAAAAAAAAAAAAAAAAAAAAAAAAAAAAAAAAAAAAAAAAAAAAAAAAAAAAAAAAAAAAAAAAAAAAAAAAAAAAAAAAAAAAAAAAAAAAAAAAAAAAAAAAAAAAAAAAAAAAAAAAAAAAAAAAAAAAAAAAAAAAAAAAAAAAAAAAAAAAAAAAAAAAAAAAAAAAAAAAAAAAAAAAAAAAAAAAAAAAAAAAAAAAAAAAAAAAAAAAAAAAAAAAAAAAAAAAAAAAAAAAAAAAAAAAAAAAAAAAAAAAAAAAAAAAAAAAAAAAAAAAAAAAAAAAAAAAAAAAAAAAAAAAAAAAAAAAAAAAAAAAAAAAAAAAAAAAAAAAAAAAAAAAAAAAAAAAAAAAAAAAAAAAAAAAAAAAAAAAAAAAAAAAAAAAAAAAAAAAAAAAAAAAAAAAAAAAAAAAAAAAAAAAAAAAAAAAAAAAAAAAAAAAAAAAAAAAAAAAAAAAAAAAAAAAAAAAAAAAAAAAAAAAAAAAAAAAAAAAAAAAAAAAAAAAAAAAAAAAAAAAAAAAAAAAAAAAAAAAAAAAAAAAAAAAAAAAAAAAAAAAAAAAAAAAAAAAAAAAAAAAAAAAAAAAAAAAAAAAAAAAAAAAAAAAAAAAAAAAAAAAAAAAAAAAAAAAAAAAAAAAAAAAAAAAAAAAAAAAAAAAAAAAAAAAAAAAAAAAAAAAAAAAAAAAAAAAAAAAAAAAAAAAAAAAAAAAAAAAAAAAAAAAAAAAAAAAAAAAAAAAAAAAAAAAAAAAAAAAAAAAAAAAAAAAAAAAAAAAAAAAAAAAAAAAAAAAAAAAAAAAAAAAAAAAAAAAAAAAAAAAAAAAAAAAAAAAAAAAAAAAAAAAAAAAAAAAAAAAAAAAAAAAAAAAAAAAAAAAAAAAAAAAAAAAAAAAAAAAAAAAAAAAAAAAAAAAAAAAAAAAAAAAAAAAAAAAAAAAAAAAAAAAAAAAAAAAAAAAAAAAAAAAAAAAAAAAAAAAAAAAAAAAAAAAAAAAAAAAAAAAAAAAAAAAAAAAAAAAAAAAAAAAAAAAAAAAAAAAAAAAAAAAAAAAAAAAAAAAAAAAAAAAAAAAAAAAAAAAAAAAAAAAAAAAAAAAAAAAAAAAAAAAAAAAAAAAAAAAAAAAAAAAAAAAAAAAAAAAAAAAAAAAAAAAAAAAAAAAAAAAAAAAAAAAAAAAAAAAAAAAAAAAAAAAAAAAAAAAAAAAAAAAAAAAAAAAAAAAAAAAAAAAAAAAAAAAAAAAAAAAAAAAAAAAAAAAAAAAAAAAAAAAAAAAAAAAAAAAAAAAAAAAAAAAAAAAAAAAAAAAAAAAAAAAAAAAAAAAAAAAAAAAAAAAAAAAAAAAAAAAAAAAAAAAAAAAAAAAAAAAAAAAAAAAAAAAAAAAAAAAAAAAAAAAAAAAAAAAAAAAAAAAAAAAAAAAAAAAAAAAAAAAAAAAAAAAAAAAAAAAAAAAAAAAAAAAAAAAAAAAAAAAAAAAAAAAAAAAAAAAAAAAAAAAAAAAAAAAAAAAAAAAAAAAAAAAAAAAAAAAAAAAAAAAAAAAAAAAAAAAAAAAAAAAAAAAAAAAAAAAAAAAAAAANCTCTATCCCGTAACATCATTTTAATGTTTATTTATTATTATTAAAAATATGCAGGAAACTTTTTAATGTAATTATTTTAGATACATATGCTTAAAACAGCAAGAAACAAACGGAGAATAGTTTTCTCAGCACCGAATAGCTTGACCTATTTCTACGAAACAGGTTCTACTGAGACTGGACGTGACGGATTTTATTACATCGAGAATAATTAAAAATAATTATTTGAATATTAAATCATTTCTTTAAACTTTTAAGAAAAAAAATAAATAATTTTCGCAAATATAAACTACAAGTTTTAAATGATTAATATTCACAAACAACTACATGTGGGTGACGGAGATGACGTATTAACGCACAGGAATGTTACCGTACAACTCCCGCACCCAATGCACACGATCATCTAAGTAAGTGCCACTGACATCCTTCGAGTTTTTATATTGAGACAAATTACACGATTCAAGAAACTCATAATAAAACGACTATTTTTGGAGACAATCAGATCGGCAGACACGGGACAGGAAAATAGGGAAGTTGAGCCGGTCCAACTGGAAGATCAACTCTTATTTTCGTTTCATTTTAACTTGTCTTTTACGATATGGTACAACAGAAATTAGACTATTAGTTAAGAGACATGGCTATAAACAATATAAAATTCCAAAATTTTCTTTCTAAAAACCGGATACCGCTAATACACAGAAATAAACCTGTAAGAACATTCAATTGACAGACAACTTCCGCATGTCCGAAAAACGTGGTCAAGGTGTACCACTTACTAAGTAAAGAAGGCCAGTTAGCATCGACTTGAATTCAACTCAAGGTTTTTCCAATATAAAAAGTTCGTCTACCTCAACTATATCCCTTAATTATTTTGTCTTCTTATCCTCCGGATAAACACGAGCATACAAAGAAACAAATGGCCATTATAATGCAAGAAAATTCCATATTTATTTACATTCTCTCTCAAGAGCATTCCGACGAATAACATTCGACTTAGTAATACTTATTTTTCTGCTACGACGTACACGAGAATGCAAGTGGACCGAACACTAGAAAATGGAATAAGCACCTGTTCACTCACCAAATTATGCAAAGGCCTGGCCGGCTGAGCCCACGTTTTCCATTTCAGAAATTGAGGATGGTGATAGTTCCAAGCGGGCCCGATAACATGCAAACTTCTACTCGGTATATCGTACTTGGTGGGCATTTCCTAATAGAACAGAAGCAAGCAACACGAACACAGATTTACGACCATCGTATGTCTACGGCAGACCATCGACAATTTGATACTGCGCGATTGGCGGAGGCGTTGCCTTGACTACGTGTCGTTCGGTCGATGGGGACGAGGTTACGGCGGTTACTACAAATGTTACAAATACAAGTAAATTTGTAGTAGTTAAATAAACTATCGCCGGGATATCTTAAAACAAACAGATCCTTGGGCAAACCGAGACAAGAATCAAAATTCTGTAAATGTTTATACTTTTCGCTATTTATATTAAGTAACTATTTATTTATTTTTATCCTAGTGTTATGATAGCATTGCGACATTCTTGAACAGATAAACTTAACGCTGCTTGTTACCTTGTGTTACGTAAGTATTACTACCGCCGCCATCTAGTAGACAAAATCATAAATAATAATTAAATTTTAATGTATATACAGAGAATTACAAATCAGCTTAATAAACGAATCTGTTGTTATAAAATACTAAAAAAAACTATGATTAATTAGTATAATTTAAAATATATATTTTTATTTTAAATATGGAATAATTATATTTGAAATCATGCCAAATAATTATTGTACTATTTCCTAAAAAACTCGAACAATTATAATTAAATAGTAGTCCTGAGTTGATTCTGCAATAGTAAAATTATAAATTACTTCTATGCGATGATGCTAAAGTAGTTGAAATGTTTCTCACTTCACGTCAATACATCAACAGTGCTAGCGAGTCAGCACAAACAATTTGGACTTATTCTTCAAAAAATTACAAATCATTAACAATCTATCAATAATTAGCAAGGACAAATTCAAGCTTATAAATCGATATTGATTTTATCATTTAAAACAGTCCAAGAATTGACTCCAAATGAGGGATGTCCTCGACTTTCGTACTTTGATTCCCGTAAACTCGCTTTTAGCATTCAATATTCGACAAACAAAAATTTCGAGCTATCGTGCTGTCGCGTTTTCTGCTAGTTTTGGTTTAGATAATGCCAAAATTATTATTATTATTTTGTGTGTTTTACGTTTATTTAAAATGTTAAAAACCACAAATCAATCTTTTATACTTTGATTTGCATTACGCATTCACTGTAAAAAAAAACTAAAACTTTCCTCTCTTAATTATAGACTTTATAGTTTTTCTTTTTGGATCATTGAGAACGGAATTCTGTTTATAATATGCAACTTTGTTCGATTTTCGTGCAAACTTGAGGGTTAAGAAACACATTGAGTCGAAAGTCGAGGGACCGCCTGTACTTTAGATCATAAAAATAAAAAAATAGACCTACGTGGTGCTTACATTGATGAATCGCAAAATTGATCAATTTTATTATAGATTATTTTTGATAATTTTATAATTAATTTTTTTAATTCTAAAAATGTTTTGACCAGGCTAAGCCCCATCAGGTTAGTCGGAAGTGCCCATATGCACTATATATAATACAGTATATACTTTCGCTTTCATTACGTAAACTTAGGCTACTGTTAGGCTGCGTACACACTAGGCGTTTTTAAACGCGCGTTTTAAAGAACCAAGAGTTCTACTAAAGCGCCCGAAAAATGCGCGTTTTAAGAAAAATCTATAAACGCGCGTTTGAGTGTGTACGCCTATGTAGAACTCTTGGTTCTTTAAAACGCGCGTTTAAAAACGCCTAATGTGTACGCAGCCTTACTTTCTTTTAACCCTTGAACTTTGGCTAATAGGCGTAGTGCTGATTGGAAAGAGAAAAATACCAGTCAGAATTTTTTCACCTTGCCCCTGTAGCACCCAATGATTCATTCCTAGTTACGGGACAGTTTCGACTAATGTTTTGTAATTTAAAAATATAAATATGACACAATATCTAGATTTATTACATAATGGCAATTGATTTTTGCAATACGTTCAAAGTGCAATAAAAGAAAATGCCCATTCATTCATCTGTAGATAGGTAACACTTCAAATAATTCGAATCAACCGTCCATGTGGAATGCCGAATTCGTTAGTCATGAACAGTATTGTTTCTTTAGATTAATATATACAGTTTTCTTTTTCCCCGATTTTCTCAAAGTTTAAGCATTAAATTCTTTCTTCCAACGATACAGATTAATTTAAAAACATTGTTTTATTACAAGTAAAAAATTTTTCAAAAGAAGATACCGTACTTAACAGAAACACTAATTTATTTCGGAATTTTTCTAATTAGTCCGTATTAATGATATCGTAAATATTTTTCAATGAGATAAAGATAATTATTTAACACTATAAACTATTAAAACAATCAAATTCAAATTATTATTTTACGAAAATTGCATTTCCAAAAATTTATGGTTTTTAACTCGGTTAAATTTATTCTAATTTTACATGAATCAACTCAATAATTTTTTGAACAAATTGCCAAACTTAAGTAATCCAGTTGATAATTATTAGGCATATTAAAAAAAATTCCCATTATTTGCTACACCTTCGTTTCCAACTACATGCCCCTAAAATTCATAACTAGTCATGCATATTATTAGCATTTTAAAGTTAACAACACCTATTTTGAGGGTGCTGTAATTTTTAAAAACACCTACAGCTATGTATTATCGATCAATGCATCCGCAGTGAATACCATTCAGTCAAAACCTGTTTGAAGATAGTAATCATCATCAGAATTTTTTACATTATTTAATATCATAATTTCTTACATCATTTCGTTGGACAAACAATATTTTACCAACAAATTTAAAAGATCTGTATTCGCACTTAATTTATATAAATACGTACACATGTATATATGTAGGTTTAAGTAAGAGACTATATACACTATATAATTTCCTTAAACTACTCAGTTATAATTTCATATAAAATAATAAATCCAAATTTAAATTCATACGTGATATTTAGTATATGAGATTATTTAGAAAAGACAGAGAGAAATGCGAATCTATAGATGATGAGGATTATTATTATACAAATTATTATACATTAAATTACAAATTTGAATTTAATCAGTCACATTTACAAATATTTGTGATATGAATCATAAATTTCCATTTAAAAATATTAATACCTATACAACGATTTTAGAGTTTATAGATATTTTAAATGTCAAATTTATTATAAATATTTTTCAATTGGCAAAACATTTTAAAGATTAACAATTTACGTTGCTGTAAAAATCAGAAAAACAAATTTTATTAAATGTTGGATTAGAATAAAAACTTTGAATAAATAAATATATATAGATAAAATAAATAAATAAATATATATACATATTATTTTCTAATAATTATATAGCATAATTAATATTTAATAATAATAATTTCATTATTACTTGCATATTGCAATATATTTATATACAATAATTTTATTATTATTTAAATTGTCTGCTCAATAGATCTTTAAATAACATATAAATAAATTTGCTCGGTAGATAACTTTTAAAATTATAAATTAAATTGGATAATTCTTTATTTTCGATATAATTTATCCGTAGATTTGTATTTCTGTAGGGAAAAACAAAAAATTTAATACTTAATTAACAATTTTATTACCGATCAGTATTATTTGAACTTGTAATGAATAATTTAAAAGGGGTGTTTATTAACATCGACTATTTAATTATAATAGAAACACTTGGCTTAATTTTATTCTAGATTAAAAAGTTATTATACTGATCTAAATATTTATATAACAATTAATCGTCAATTGATATTCCGATATTTTTCTTAGTTACCCACACACCGACGATTCTTTAGACGAAAAGCAAACATGCGTAAATTTTGTTTTTGATTTATATCAAATAGAAACAACAGATGGTGCTGCAATCGTATTTCGTATCAAAGTTTTACTATAAAATGTAAATGATTGGAAGTGTCATTAAAAAAATAATAAAAATAAATAATAGTAGTAACTGTAATAAACTTTATTCGAACGAACATTTCTTTAGACTAATTTTAATCAAATTTAGGCGAATAACCGCTCGGCCCACGTAAGTACTGTACAATAATGATGCTCCTCCCATACGTTCTTTTAAAAATAACAGTTTTAAAAAGCCTTTTCTTGTCTCTTATAATAAACATCCGAAATGACACCGCAAATAAAAGTAGATCGCTGTAAATAGAGACTTTTAACAATCGTTTGATGATAGAGGGTCAACGCTCCTAGAAAGTTTGGGGGCACGCCTGGATCGCCGTTAGGGTCAAAACATCTGATCTATAAAAACAACATTTACATTCACGAGTATCAAATGAAAATTAATCAACATGTTAAATTGCTAGCCATAAATTAATCCTACCAAAGTAAAACGGCCATTTCTCCTAACTAAATTATATGTACTGTACAGTACATTACAGTATATTAAAAAAAGAGAGAGAGAGAGAGAGATTCGAATGAGAAGACACTGAACTTTGATGGTTGCCTTGGGCCAGACAACTTTGCACTCCGGCCGCAAATACCAAGAAAACTGGCTCCGGACATTTTCGAAATAAACCAACGGTGTGGAAATACTTTTTTTCGTTTGTTTCCGTTTCATCCATGACTATTACAAACAGATACAATATTTTCCGTTTCGTCGTCTAAAACCACCGTAAATGATCTTAAATGATTTTACTCTCATTTATTACTACGACTTTGGAATAATCTGCATTAATAAACAATCGAATATGTAGGTCAACATAGAAATGACAGTGATGAGTGTAAATCAGTTATTATTTGTTTTGATGAAAAGGTAAATGATACAAATGATAATATACATCTTCAATCATTGAGAAATAAGGAAAATATATTTAAAATATTCACTTATTAAAGTCTATACTGTACTTGTAATGAATTGTTTATTCATTTACATTTAGATAATATATATGTATAAATATACTAAGTGAAATTGGTAACATTTTTCATTAATACACTTATTGTATGTTCTGAATTTTTTAAAAATATTTCAAAAGAACATAACCTTGCATAACTTTGCTTGTTGTTTGAATACAAACATACAAAATATAATAAATCTAATTTAAACTTTTAACATTTTATAAACATAGATTATTAATTAATTAATATACTTTTAAATAAACCAAACTTTGACATGATATATTGTTATGTATTTCTAATTAAGATATAATAATTTTGCACATTCATAGCAACTATCAGTTTTGATATGTAATTTTCAATAACATTTATTCTTGTATAATAATTATCCATATTTTAAAGTAGATATAAACTTTTCCAATAAAAATCGATGAAATATTGACTTTCAGAATATACTGTATTTTATATAATACATTGTCAGTTGTTTGTGTATTCCAAATATGAAATAATAAATGATATATTGTTCATAAAAATGAAAATATAAGAACATAAAATTTGCTGATTG